GACGACAGTGACTTTCTGAAGGATCTATGAGGACCTGGAATATTGGAGTCAACACGTCCTCCGTCATAATAAATAAATGACTAGCCCCAATATCCTTAAATTTTTGGAAAGAGTTAGAGATCACAACCTATTTTGAGCATTAAGAAAATCTTTTGGTTAATAACCTTCCCCCCCAATTTTTCCGTTTACGCATGCAACTTAAAATATCCTAGACCTCTATATAAATATTCAAATGAAGTGGGGAAAGTGAGAGGATTACCTAAGTCATCTTTCAATTTCTTCTTCTACCAAAAGAAACGTTTTGGTCAGAATTACCCAGAATCACTACAAATGTGCATATCCAGCAGTGGTCATAATTCTGGTAAGTTACACTTTTATTGCCCATCTTTAATCTCAAAGTTACTTTCTGTCCAACATTTATTAGCACCAATAACAAATTTACTAAGCAACACTGTAGGGAAAAAAGTGGTCCCCACAACAAATGTTGACTATAGGATGGGTACCAGGGGGATGAGCAAAACTAAGGCCACAGCCCTGATCATTGAAGTGAAGAATTAAGGAAATAATTTTTTGAAGAACTTCAATTATCAGGATGCTCTGGTTGAAACAACAGAACAGGGTCTAAATTGTGTCAACAGTGACCTCAATTCTCTGCTTTACTTTGTCATAAACCTGATATTAAAATATGAAATAATTGTTTTAAGGAATCATTGAAACTTTTGAAGCTCTCAAGCTATTTTGTTTCAAGTGTTCTTATACAAGGAGTCACAACAGGAAGAAAGGTAGAGATGCCATCAAATTAGATTACCAGAGAAACTCCCTCTATTTTACTTTATTTAATGTGACACATAAAGAAAACCCTGCACAAATATCTGTCTTTAATTTCTCTAGTGTAAAAAAAGAAATATATTGTGTCTGGCAGAACGAAGCAGATGAAATAGCCTGGGTGCATTTAAAAAACGAAGTGGGGGGGAGGTAGAAATCAGATGCGTACAATGAGCCTTCAAAGCCACTCCAGCAGTAGGGATAAATAATTTAATAAACTCAACTTCATATTCTTTTTATCTCCCCAGTGTAATAAGCACATATTAAAAAAATAAAACTTTAAGTTCATGAATACTTGTGAATAGAATAGCAGCCAGCCAGGAAATATGAAAAAACACAAAACAATATCTATGTGAGCATTTAACATGTATATGCATATTCCCTAACAGATACATTTTTCCAGATGAAAGGTCACAATGACTTAAATTTATGAACATGTAATTCAAATTTAAATTAGTTTTTTTAAAAAAACAAAGAAACCTTGCATTCCTACGTTTCTCAACATAATAGGTTTTCTTTAAACCTAATAACGTGACTATTTATGCATTACTTTATGTATCCCATATAAAGTAAGTAGGTTTACAGAAGGGGGATATAAGTTATTTAGACAACAATACTTCGGGAAAAAAATATTTTGCCATTATTATTTTGAATGTCTTGAAATGTTAAGGATCACAATATTTAATTGTTTTATATTCATTAATACTACTAACATTTACGATAATGGTGTGTTTGTGACTTTTTGGGATTCTTTTCTTAAATGGTGCATTTTAAATCAAGGCTGCCTAGTAACCTAAGTAAATGAAATGAAAAAGTCAAGTCAGTTAGACCTTAAAATCCCAAATATCATTCAAATGTAAACATCTCAAACTATCATTAAATCATGAAATTTTTGGCTTTTTTTCTTGAATTAGGTCAGTTTTCTTCAATTATCATTCTATTATTAGCTCATGTCAAAGATGCCTGCACAGCATACCACTGAAAACAATTAAGCATTTATATCCTAAAGCATGGGACATACACAAGCTTTTATTCTAGTACTAAGATTATATTTATAGTAAAAAAATAATATAAGACTGGGATCATTAAAGTTGTTTTATAACTTCTCACATAAGTAAATAAATTGATTTTAAGCTATCTCCAGGTTAGTACATCATCATTTGAAATAACCAGTTCAATTGGTCAAAGGGGGTTTCAAAAAATTACTATAAGTTACTCCCACAAAACTATCTCCAAAGCCTAGATTAAAAGTGGCCGAATTACATAAAAATATACTATATATTTAAATTCCTCTCCATAGGTCATTTCAATAAAAAAAAATAAGGGATAGAAAAACATAGTCCTCGCATAGTTTAATTTTCCTTCAACAATGAGAGGTGTCTAAGATCACTGAAAGGATTCAGCTGCAGAAGGCAATTCATTTCAGGTGTTCAGTGTAATAGAAAATCACTGTGTTGCAGCAACAAGCAGTACTTGCCCTAGAGTATTATTCTAGGGTGCCCAGTTCACCTACAGTGATAACAGCGGGTGGGTGAGTCCTGTGTTATGTAAATCACTGTCAGCTCCCAGTGTGAAGGGTGCTGGAGGAAGCAGCTCGGAAAACACAGTCCCCGCGTCCTTGAAACAGAATGACTTCACTTCCCTGCAACATTCTAGGACTAACGAGTTTCTTGGTCCTTTTCTCACCATCCATTTTGCTTCTGCAAAGTGCAAACCGTTAGTGAAAAGGCCCCGGTTACACCAATTAGTTTGCACAAAGTGCTTCGGTGTTTAGCTTCGCTTTAACCCAATTAAGCCGCACAGTGAGCCCCGAAGATGCGCCACCTGCGCGCCTGGCTCCAGCGAGGCCGGCCCGGCGCCCCTCGCGTTAGACTCAGCCCGACCGCCGCCCCACGGTGCCCCCCGAACGGCTCCGGGGCCTCCGCGTCCCAAGCTGCACGTCCTCGGAAACCGGGGACACTTGCAGGTGGCCCAAGAAATCGAGTGACGAGGTCCTGGCAGAGCAACTCTGCTCTGAACCCCGGGGAGAGCGCGCTGGGCACAGGGGCCCGCGGCCCATGATGAGAAAGCGCGGCGCTCGGCTGCGACCTCATGTGGGCCCGGGTGGCCGTCGGGGCTGAGGGGTGCGCGCGCAGGGGCCGTGGCCTGGAGCAGATGTGGAGAACCCGAGGACACCAGGTAAGGTTTAAAATAACGGGCACATGGTGGGGGGAACCCATGGGACAGAGAGAGGAAAGAAAGATGGCTCGGGAGTGCGGGGCAGCAGGAGAGAGGGGACCTGCGCTGGGTGAGGGCCAGACGTGGCTTTCCCCCCCAGAGACCAAGGCATATCTTCCCCTTTTTGGCGAGGGTTCTCTGGTTCTGATTTGCCTCCTCTTCTTCTTCCAACTGCCAAAAGGTAGCAGTGCATTCACCCGCAAAGCCTGCAAAGTGGGGAGGGGCTGTTCCCAATCCCTGCTCCTAAGGGAACGGAAGGTTCCTGGGGAATAGAGTAGATGGATGCCACGAGCCCCAAATCTACTGTACTGTTTTAAGCTAAATCGGAATCTATCACTCTTGGATAAGGAAAAAGTAAATAATAGATGGCTTTGTGATGCTTGTACCTGTGCAAAAATAAATAAATAAGCAAGCAAAAGCTGGGGTAAAAAGTGGGAGCCGGAACAAGATCTTGTTGAAAGCAGCTCTGAAAGAAAGTGCCTACAGACCTGTTACCAGGAGTTATAGGATTTTGCTGGAAATATTGTTAATTTTAAAGAGATGGCATCTAAATTAAAGGTAGGCATTAAAAATCTGCCTAGGTTTTAAAACCACTACACTACATAATTCCTAAGTGGTATTTATTTCCTTTCCTGTATATTAAAGACACAATTGGTATCACCAGGAAAAAAAAAAAAAACCCAAACCAAAAACATGCTCTACATAAATCCATTTCCCCCTCCTGTTTCAAGGTTCCAAAATGCAGAAATGTTGATTTCTTTCAAAGTTTTCCAAAATGATATTTAAATTTAAAAACCCTGGATGACTGCAAATTAGTTTTCTTTAAAATCTTACCCGATTTTTCCCTCAACCAAATCACATGAAATCATACAACAATTAGAAGTCTACCCTCAGGTCACCACTAAGGACACTTAAGAGAGGAGGTATAATTATACATCAATAAGCAAGCCAGAAACCCTAAACCTGAATATTTTCAGAACAGTGACCTGCCAGTAGGTCTCATCTCTATGATCTTTCCTTAATTTCACATATTAAAATACAGCTCACTATGAACTCACATTGCAATAATCTCTCAATCACAGAGATAAGTTATTTTTAAAATATTTCTACCAGTGCGTACAAAACTTGCAGTCCTCATTATGTTGCGCAACTCTATCAAAGTACAAAGAGGGCTGCAGTTGGGGAGAGGGGGAGTAATACTAAACATTTTTTAAACATCCTAACTTAAACTGGGGTAGACAGCATCTAACAAAGCAATAATTTTCAGATTCCTTTCAACAACTGCAAATGAGGGGAAAAAACAGAGATAAAACACTGCATAATGTAAAACAAAACAAAAACAAAAACAAAAAACCCCAACCAAAAACCCATTCTAACATACCGGAACATCCCCAAATTACACAGGCATCAGTAGTCCATCTAAAGCCAACCTGCATATACATGAAAGAGCAAACTCTCAACCTGCATTTAAAAAGACCTCAAGGATTAACAGACATTAATTATCTTACTCTAAATGCAAGTTACTGACTTTTGTTTTAGAAGACCCCATCTAGTTCACTAATTGATGGATGACCATTAATACACCTGTATTTGCATTTCCGCGGTAAAAAGACAAGCAGGGTTTTCAACACAGAAGAGAACCACTTTGCCAAGTCTTTTCAAAACGTCAATATGCTTCAATTAATACCAAAGCTGAGAGATTCCTCTTGATTTCCAAAACTGTCTAGGTGGCCTGGGTGGTTTTCTGCCGGCAGCCGCCTCCTACCTTTAGTTTGTGTGCCTATATCCACGAGGGGGGATTAATTAGCCGGGTTGGAGCTGAAGGAGGCTGTCGTGACGAGCCCAGTGGCGATTGGCCGCCAGCCTGCCTGGCCCTGCCTTTATAATTTCCACACGAGTGCATCTGAGCTCTTAGACAAACCAACAGCAGCTTCTTCTGACATATACACACGCACACTCACCCCCGACACACTCAGCACACTTTTCCTCCATCTGATTAACAGTCCGGCACACACAATGATTACGGGAAAGCGTAAATAAATACGGAAAGGGTTGATTATTTTGACTACTGGAAGAGCTTTGCTGGGTCTCAGCACAACTTTTGTTTTCATTACCGAGAAGGTGATCTCTCCATGCGTTTCTCTCACACAAGGATTCTTTAAAAGAGGAAGAAAGACCGAGAGAGGGGGGAGAACAATCTTTCACTTTAAGACCATCTGGGCTCAAAGATAAAAGGAAGGGGAAAGCAGCGGCTAGGACTCCACCGGGGCAACACATCGGAGAGCGTTCTGATACATTTCTGAGCGCGGCGGCCCGTTTCTCCACCGAAGTTGGCTCCAGCTCTAGCAGCCGCATTGGATCCCACAGCCTACTGCGAGACTCCGGTGTACAATCCGGATCTCTGCCCCAACATGATCGCGGCCCAGGCCAAGCTGGTATACCATCTGAATAAGTACTACAATGAGAAATGCCAAGCCAGGAAAGCTGCCATTGCGAAAACTATCCGGGAAGTCTGCAAAGTAGTTTCCGACGTACTTAAAGAAGTGGAAGTGCAGGAGCCCCGGTTCATCAGCTCTCTCAACGAGATGGACAATCGCTACGAGGGCCTCGAGGTCATCTCCCCCACCGAATTTGAAGTGGTGCTTTACCTTAACCAAATGGGGGTGTTCAACTTTGTGGACGACGGCTCGCTGCCCGGCTGCGCGGTGCTGAAGTTGAGCGACGGGCGCAAGAGGAGCATGTCCCTCTGGGTGGAATTCATTACCGCCTCCGGCTACCTCTCGGCGCGCAAAATCCGGTCCAGGTTTCAGACTCTGGTGGCTCAAGCCGTAGACAAATGTAGCTACAGGGATGTAGTTAAGATGGTGGCAGATACCAGCGAAGTGAAACTGAGAATCCGAGATAGGTATGTGGTGCAGATCACCCCGGCTTTTAAATGTACCGGGATCTGGCCAAGGAGTGCTGCCCACTGGCCACTTCCGCACATCCCCTGGCCAGGACCCAACCGGGTGGCGGAGGTCAAAGCGGAAGGGTTCAATCTCTTGTCCAAGGAGTGCCACTCCCTGGCCGGCAAACAGAGCTCGGCCGAGAGCGACGCCTGGGTGCTGCAGTTCGCGGAAGCAGAGAACAGACTGCAGATGGGGGGCTGCAGAAAGAAATGCCTCTCCATCCTCAAAACCTTACGGGATCGTCACCTTGAACTGCCAGGCCAGCCCCTGAACAATTACCACATGAAGACTTTGGTTTCCTACGAGTGTGAAAAGCATCCCCGGGAGTCGGACTGGGACGAGTCTTGCCTGGGTGATCGGCTTAACGGGATTTTGCTGCAACTTATCTCCTGCCTGCAGTGCCGGCGGTGTCCTCACTACTTCCTACCGAACTTAGATCTGTTTCAAGGCAAACCTCACTCGGCTCTGGAGAACGCTGCCAAACAAACGTGGCGGCTGGCAAGAGAGATCCTGACCAACCCAAAAAGTTTGGAAAAACTTTAGAGGACAATTTCAACAAGAGCCGAAATGTGATTACTCTTCTCAAAGACCTGATCCAGTGCAAAATTCCTGTTGGATTCCTAATATTCCACTTGTCAGTGCAAACAATCTCTTCCTTAAAAAGGAGTAACAATACAATGTTTAGGCATCATCTCACCCACCCCTCCAAGGGGAGAAAAAGAAGTAGGGAAAGCGGATGGAGAAAACCCCAAACCCACAAGTATTAGAAGACTTCTTTACAAAGGATTTCCTATCTCCCTTGAAAAGTACACAATAACACCCGGAAAACAACCCGGCTGTAATGCAAGACCACAGTGAACACTCTGCCTAACTATCAAAGGATTATAGCAATCCTGGTGATTTAGGTGCATCTGTCTGTGAGTAAACACGATTTGGATATGCCATCTGAAGGAAAGTGTAATGTATATTTTGATTTGTAACAAATATTGTGATCTCACATTGTCTTTGAAAGTGTGGATGTTGGTGTTTTGTGATGTGGTGAACAGAAGTTACATTGCCATTTTGGAGACTTCCAGACAGTTTCCACTAACAAAGATACCATTTAAAGGTAGATTTCCTCCTGGTACTTTTATCTGTCTTTGAAAGTGTCTGAACTTTAAAAAGTTTACATTTTGTTTCAAATATAATGCTTATTCTATTTCTAACATTCCATAAATATACTTGAAATGCTATTTAAATATATTCAAAGAAATTTGAATTCAGCTTATATAATAACGCTTGAATATCTGAATTATATATTTGAAAAATGCACTTGAAATACACTGGATAACTACTTTTGTGATTTAGATTTTAATTTCTGTTGCTGGTTTTTATTTAATTAGAAGCTAATAAATGAAGTAAAATAAAAGTTGTTGTGTCTCACTTTAAATTGTTTTTCTATCAAAAGATGTAATGCTCCATTTTGAAAACTGAACCCACTCGAGTATTTTAAACATTTTGAGGAGTATGCTAATGAAATAATTAAAATTGAACCTTAATATCCTGAAGAAAACTCTTTGTACAGCTACAGAAGATAATAATTTACTTATAAGACTATTTCTTTCTACAACGGACACATTTAAATCTACCCTGGAAAGCCTGCTCTGCATTAGTACTTCTGTAGCATTTTCGATAATATAAGGAAAAAATATGTCATGGCGGTACAGACTGCTGAGTTAAAAATTAGACTAACTCAGAAAAAGTGAACTTAAAGTCATAATGAAAGTTTCAAAATTTGTATAACTATGCTAATCAAATAAAGATTATTTCTGACCATTTTATGTCAAATCCTATGTTATGCAGAAAAAGTGTTCCATTAGCTGAATAAGTTCATCAGAAATCTAAAATTGCTTTTGACTTCACAGGGCAAGGTAATGATAAAAGCGTAAAGACAAACTTTCAATTATTTAAAAATCAAATACACTACATTCAAACTCATTTTCAACGTTCCATCCTTTGGGAGTTGGTAGTGCAAGAAGTCCTATGACTGTCCTTCCAAGTATTTTAATTGTCAACAAGTGCTGAGAGCGCTAATCACCTGCAGGCCTTAAGGTAGGTAGTTAATTCAGGCAGGGATGGATTTTAGAATTTCAGTTCCTCTTCTACAAATAGCGTTTTATAATAGTTTATGTAAAAATGACAAATAATAAAGTTCTGGATCTATGGGCACACTTGTCTTTGATGATTTTAGAATAATTGCTTCTCATAAATACTGCAAAGGAAAATCTTTGTAAACTGATGCTTGAATATCTAACATGACCCTTGAATTCTTAACCTCAGAAAAAATGTTTACAAACCGCACAGTGACATAAAAGTTAAAACAACAAGCAAATTGGTTTCAATAGAAAGTGCAGAGGTGTAGAGCTGTCCTAATATCAGGTTTTAAAATCTACACGGTAAGATATAATAAACAAATATTTATGTATTTCAAATTGTCCAAATAGGTGTTTTTCTGGCATTACACCCACAGAAGAACACAAACTTTAAACATCTGATTGCTAGTATATACTACCTATATACGTTTTAAATCAACGCTTCTCAGAGAATCAGTTTCTCTTACTCTTCAATTCACATGTAAAACTCATTCTTATTTCAGGAGATGAAAAATGGATGTAATAATGGAGATGAATTTCTATCTAAATGCTCTCCCCTCCCCCCCGTTTCCTTACAACCTTTCAATGAATAATAACTCACATTGCAATTTACACTTTTGGAAATTAAAAGTCATCTTAAGATATTTCAGAAGACCCCTCCTGGTCTTCCCAGAGAGGCTGGGATACTGTACCCCCGAGACTTTGGAACAATTGGCTTACCTACAAAATTTACCCAAGTGCACACAAAGGCACTCATGAACAGACTGTCATGTGCATGCTCTGGTAACACAGGATTTGAAACCATTAATATCTTCTTCAATCCCATAAAAAAGAGCATGTGTTATTTCATTCATTTTATTTCCTATGACAAAAATGGAAATGTGCTCCCCTCCCCCACTGTCATTTAAAACCAAGCAAAACTGAAAACCACTTCCTGCCACAAAGCCACTAGTACTGTATACGAATCACTCTAACTCACTTTCGTGTCGATCTTCTTGAAGGCAGGATCATCCTCATCTACCTCGAAGTAGATTTCTGTCGTGGTGATGGAGAGAGTCCCCTTGGCCACCACCACAGGAGCGATGAGCTGGGCTGGGGTACTGAGAACCACTGGGCCTGAAAGACAAGGGCACCGGAGTCAGGCTCAGTCCCTGTGGCCCTCTCCCGCTCCCTCCCAAAGGGTGCGGCAGGTCTTTATTTTTAAGATGCGCTAAGAAAATGGTGCCTGGGTAACGCGGCCAGCATCTTTCATGTGAGATAAGGTCTGCTTAGCTCTTGCACATTATCTTATATAGAGATAAATAATTCCATAAAACCCCAAGAGGTCAGGATGCCGAACAAGTGACCCTTAGCAAGCGAGTTAGTAACCTCCGCCTGGAAATCCTACAAATGCTCCGATTCTCCATGGAGCACCGCCGGCTTTCCGAGAGAGACCGTAGGCAGTCAGCACTGCCCCCAAAGACCAGCCATCGTGTAAAGCCGTTCCACTCGGCAGCAGCGTTCCCCAAGGATGGGCGGGAGGATGTGAAGGGGTACAGGATCTAAATATATAAATTCCACTGTACTAACGGGTTTGCATCTTGCAGTAAGATTAATATCGGCGTCCTAAGGCGCGCCACATCCACATAGACGCACACAAGGATATTAAGTGCATTTCTTCTGTAGAAAAGAACAAAAATCGTAACAGTGATCTTCTCACCCACAATCAGTCAAAAGGGATGAAATTCTAAGACGCTTGAACAAGAAGATTCTCAGAAAAGCGTCCGAAAAGTACTATCTCTCAACTTTAGAAACTAGAGAAACTAATCTTCAGTAGAAGAGTTTAGAAAGTGTGCCTACTGAGGTGCTTACTTGGAATTCCCTCAATCTGAGTAAATGTTGAAAATTACGTATTAGAATATAAATTCAAAGGGGATGACTTAAATGCCCCTTTAAGACATTCTTTGCTACCCTGTACTTAAAATACAGACAAGGAAATCAGAACTTATTTTCTCTTTCTTTTTCTCTTTTTCTTTCTTTCTATCTTCCTTCCTTTCTCCACCCCCCCTTTTTTTGTAGCAAGGGCGCATTATGTTCCCTTTCATCCTCCCCCCCGCCCTGAAATGCATATAGTTAAATGAGTCACAATAACAGTAGGATAAAGGCAATAAAAAACCAGGTCCCCTGCAGCCGCTCGGGCTCGGCCCCTCGGCTGCAGCTCCTTGCCGTGAGACCGGCTGGTACCGCCACCGCCAAGGCCACTGTTAGCAGGCCCGACCCGGCCAGGCGCGGGGACTGCAGAGAAGTTCACGTTCTCAGGGAGCAGCCCACACCAAATCCGCGACCTTCCTGCACAAAGCCGGGCCGTTTCTGCTGCGGGAGGCACACAGAGGAATCGGCCGGCTTCTGTCGCGCTGAACGGGGTGGATAGGAAGCAAACTGTGTGTCAGCCTTCACCCCCGATCGTGACCGCCTGGCTCAGACCAACGCCAAGCCCCTTCTTTTAGTTTACGGCTCTCTGTCCCCCAGGAGCCCGCACTGGGGGGCCCGGCCCCTGGGCGCGCGGACTCCCGGCCTGGGTTTCCGCCGCGGAGCCGAGCGGAGTCGGGGTCCATCTCGGCTACACAAGGTTTTTCTTTCCAAAGGGCGAGGCGGTCGATCTGAAGCGCCACTTTAAAGGCTCATCAATCTTAATCTAGGTTGCTCAAGTAATTATGCCCGAATCTCTTGTACGATTACAAGTGGATTTGGGTTTCTATTCCCCAGGCCCTCCTTTGTGTTTATTGGAGGGTCTGTGCGCGCGCTCCGCGGCGCCTCCTGCCTCCCGCGCCCTCCTCGGAATCCCCCAACGCTCGGGCCGGTTCGAACCGCTCCCTTAACCCTTCAGCCACCAAGACGCTCCTTTGGATGCCACTTTTCACATTTCCTTATGGAGAAATCCAAAATACAAATTACTCTTGATTGGAGCGAGGTGAGAAAGAAGTTACCGTGACATCGAAAACAGTGTCTTCTTATACGTCGTTGGGCCTTGCTAAAACCTCAGGAAAGTCGTCATTCTATACACAGGCCGCTAGTGATTTCTGGTTTAATAGAGGTTTCTGGCATTTGGAGGCGTAGAATGGTCACAAACATTTAAAATGGCGAACTATTCCTTTCTCTTAAAAAGTAATTTAACATATCCAATTAAGTTGGGGTGACATGAAAAAGAATCACTAAACACATTATCAAAACCATACACACTGATTTACTGAAATATATTATGACTTTTTAAGGACACATTTCCGGGAACTTTTAACGGGGAACACATTCTCTCTACTTAATTCTCTGCCTTTCTGAAAGGAGACTGCGCTTCTGATTGCTTTTACTCCAATCTCATTCTATTGAATTGAGATTTTCTGGGGGTTTATAAAAGGACTTTGAACTGGTCCTTCT